GACGAAACAACAAAGGTGGTGTCTCTAATGGCTCTTGAAGAGCCCGAGGTATCTTCTAACTCAAATGAATTTAATTCACTTACTTTTGATGAGTTACAAGATGCTTATAATAGGCTGTATTTGGGATTTGAGACCATGAATTCAAAATATACGAAATTAATTTCAAAACTCAAAATTGAAAATAAATCGATTTTCAAAGCTAGAGTTGATTTTGAAAATCAAAATGAAATTTTGAAAAATGATTTAGAACTTTCAAAAATCAAAATAAATGATTTAGAAAAGAAATATTTTGAGTTAGAAGTTAAGCTTTAAAGCTTAACAAAAGAAAAAAAATTAATTTCTAAAAATAATCTATTATGTTTAAAAATGGCAAAATGCTCACATTGACATTATCATGGTCATTTGGAACATATTTGTCCTTCGAAGAAAGGAAAACGTTTTAAAATTAGGCAAGTATGGGTTCCGAAAGGAACAAGAGGCATTGAAACTAACGTCCAAGGATCCAAAGTAATTTGGATACCAAAATCTACTTAAATGTCTCTTGTAGGTGTGCGGGAGCAATGGTGATGAAAGTGATGATATTCAAGATGCTCTAGCCACACATGAAAAAGGAATGAGTAACCTCTAAGCTTAATGCTTTTAATTTTGGTTATTTGGTTGCTCATTTGATTTTAAGCATGCATGAGTTTTGTTTTTAAATGATTATGCATCAATGTTTTAATCTCTTGTATGTTGAAAAGATGATTATGATGAACATTTTAAAGTTATATTAATTTTTAAGAATTTTTAGTTCATCATAATAAAACTTTGGTCAAAATTGGTTTTAATGCAATTGATATCTCTCTAACAATTGATATCAATTTTTTCAAATACTTTGATTTTACAAATTTTAAAATTTTTGACCTAAATTTGAATGTTTATGCATGTGGTTTAAATGAAAATGATATATGTCTAACAATTGATATCAAAATTTTCAAATGCATAACATTTTTGGAAAACTTTATGCATATGCACTTAATTTTAACAATTGATATTGCATAAAGTATTTTAGACTTGGAAGTATTGAATTTCATGTGATACTAATATGTTTGTTATTCTTTGTTGAAATTCAATTTTGTTTAAGTGTCAAGATCCTAAAAGCATAATTTTATTTGGAATGCATTTATTGAGGGGGAGCTTTGATTTTTTCAAATGATTTTTAACATGTCAAATTTACTACTTACTCTCCAAAGTTATTTTGAACTTCAAAGATTAGAGTCTTTTTGATTTAACAAAAAGGGGGAGAAGTGTTAAGGTGTTAAAGGGGAGAAGTGTTAAAGTAAGGGGGAGTAATTTCAAACTTGATTTCAAAAACTTAAAATTACTCAAATGTTTTGTTATATAAAAAAGGGGGAGATTGTTGAAAACATTTTGATGTTTCGATATAACAAATTAAGTTAAATGAATTTTAATATTTTACAAAAGATTTTCTAAGTATATTCGATGTAATTATTCGAATATCAAAATATTACTCCAAGTCTTTCAAAGTTCATTTTAATCCTTACTAAAGTGTAAAATTGTGTTTTATACTTAAACTATTTTTAAAACAATTTTACAAAGTATTTCGAATCGTTTCAAAGCCAAGAAAAATTCAGATTGTCCAGGGGGTACAGATTTCCCCCCCCAGGGGTACAAATTCTCCCCCCAGGGGGTACAGATTCCCCCCAGGGGGAACAGATTTCCCCCCAGGGGGTACCGATTCCCCCCTGTCTAACGGTCAAAAATAGATTGCACTTAGGGAACCGATTCCCCATGAGGGGGTACTGATTCCCTCCACGCTCCAAGCTGTTTTATTAATTGTTTCTCATCCCCAAACAGCTCCAAAACATCCCCAACGACTATATACGACTTCAAACACATTCCAAGCTATAAATACAACCTAAGGACACTTGAAGATATAAGAGAACAACTATCCAAGCAATCAAACACAAGAGAAGAGTTTTTAAATCTTATTTCATCTTTCTCTTGTAAATATTTTGTTCTTGTGAGCTTAATTCTTGTAAACACCTACCTTAGAGAGGTTTTCTTGTTTACATTTCTTATCCTTTTGTAAAGGGGAAGGTTCTAGCTAATTCCGTGTAAAAGCTAGGGAAAGGTTCTAGTTTAGCCCGGAAAAACTAGGGAGTTTGTAAGGTTACTCTTTATCCTCAAAAGTAAGAACAAATTAGTGAATTTGTTGGAAAATCCTTGGTGAGGAGCTAAGGTAGTGGACGTAGACTTTGGTTGAGAAAGTCGAACCACTATAAATCGCTGTGCAATTCTCTATCTTTCAATCTCCTTACTCCCTAAACACAAAACCGTTCCGACCCCTCTTTGCAAACCGTTCCGGTTGTCGATTCGAGCTTCCGAAAATCCCAACAATTATTAATATATTTTTGTAAAAAAATTATATTGTCTTTAAATCTTATCATTTGTGTTCAAGTTCCTTCAAATTCAATTATCATTCTAAATTAGTCCCTAAAGTTTTGAACATTTGAATTTCATTCCCATACAACGAATCTCATTCTAAATTAGTCCCTAAACTTTTAGATCTTTCAATTTCATATCTAAATTCATCAAAATATGTAATCCATTTCAACCATAGTTTAACCTAAATTTATTTTTTCTAACATATAATAATATAACTTGCCTAATGATTTTATTAACAAGAGATGTGATCAATATATACAAATAATTTAGGATAAAATTGAAATATTCAAAAAGTTTGAAGACCAATTTAGGATGAATATCATAGCTTGGGGATTAAAATGAAATATTCAAAAGTTTAAGGACTAATCTAGAATAATAGTTGTAGTTTAAGGATGAAATTGAAATGTTTAAAAGTTTAGGGACTAATTTCAAATAAGGGTCATATATTGGGGGCATATGATGCAATTAACTCATTAATAACTTATTTGAAAACCAATTTAATAAGTTATTATTTTAATATTTTTATACATTTTAACTCAATTATCGGGCTAAAATCAGGTCAATGTTTGGTTCAGATCGGATTCGGATAAATTAAATTCGGGTTACTTTCGGTTTATATTATTTTTAATTTGGGTTACTTTCGGTTTAGATTATTTTTAATCTGAGTTACTTTTGGTTCGGGTTACTTTCGGTTTGGGTTCGGTTGGTTTGAGTTACTTTCGGTTTGACTGAAATTCGGGTCGATTTCGATTTGATTCGATTTTTCAGGTCAAACTTGGATCATCATGTTCGGGTCTATTTCTGATATCGATTTAGATAATCGAAATCAAATCAAATTTGCCAGATCTATTTAAGAGCTATGTCGTCTTAATAAATAAAATAATTATTTATTATTAAACATAATTGATTGAGATACGATGTGTATTTTACCCTTTTCACCTATCTTACTGACGTTTTCGACTACAACTCTAACGAATTGAACTAACATGAATGGAGTTATGTTCATATTTGTTTATTTAACTTTAATCGAATAAACGAACGAAGTTTTTAATCTTGTTTGTTTATTAAGAAATTAAGCTTGTATATGTTTGTTCATGTTCGATCGTTCAAATGATAAATGGACAAACATGAACGAATGTAAACGAACATAAAATTAATTGGGTTTATATTTGAGAATATTTTTTTTTTCTAAATAATTTTAGGATTTATATTTTCTTTAATTGATTTGAATATTTTTATTTGAGTTTAGAATTAATTGAATTTTAAAATATTAATGGATTTAAGGTTAAAATTTATTAGATCTTAATATTTCAAACGGGTCTGGAGATTGAGTTAAATAAAAACGAACATAAATAAACATAAACGAATATAAATGAAGAACATAAAAGAATATATTATTGAACGTCCACGAACGTATATGAACGAACTAGTTTTTTGTTCATGTTCATTCATTTATTCAAACAAACATAAAATTTTATTTATATTCATTCATTTAATAAATAAATGAATATAAATAAACTTCTTGTCGAACGATTCGTTGAATGTCCGATTGATTTACATGCATAATTAGAATGAGGAGGGCTTGACCTACAAGGCACCTCGTGGGTTTTACCCGTATTTGTTTATTAGAGATAAGTAAAATTTCACTCGATTTAAAAATTATATATATTTTATTTAATATTAAAATATTTAATTTGAATTGACTAGAACAAATATTCTCCCATACTTGTTGTGTCCATTGTTCTCTTGATTTTGATTTTTGTGTGTGATTTATGGTTGTAGGGATGAACTTAGATGGGTGGGTGTTGTTCTGAAAATTTAAAATTATTATATATTTTTTATTCTTTATTTAAAAATATATTTTTATTTTTAAAAATTTTATAAATTTAAATTCGTCAACCATAATATAAAATTCTACCTCCGTACCGGGTTGTTGAACACTTGTTTCTCTAGCAGTCGGGTCAATAAGGAGTTTAGGTCTCAACTATTCAATCCTCTAGGTCTAATTACAACGACCTGTGCAAGTTTCATTTATGTTTACGCCAAGTTTAGGGTTTTAACAATCTGTGTAAATCCATCACCAGTCCTTCGCCCTCATCTCACAATATGGGGTTTTAGAGTGTTCAAAACCACACAAACAAAAGACAAAATTCTTTAGCACTGTTATCATTTTTTCATTATCACTTTGTTTTGTTATAAAATCAGACATTTTATTTTAGGGGATTAATGAAATTTAGAGGCGAAATTATTTATTAAGCCAAAAATATAATCATAAAAAACTCATACCAAACCAATGTCAGCCACCCAGCCTCGTTTAGCGAGAAGCCCTTAAATCCCAACACAAAAACACTGCCCTTAAAAACTTAACCTTCCCACTACTTTACCCTTTTTTATTTTGCCATCTATCTTTGAAAACAAGAAACCAAAAGCCATGTGGGAAGAACCAATGTCTACAGTACCATATTCCATATGGACATCAATCCTCAGCTGGTTTACCCCAACAGTGTTCTTCGTCTTCCTCAACCTCACAATCGGCACCATTTATTTCACTTCCACTCTGACTTAACCTTCCCTTGTTCGTTCTCCTTTGTTCCTACAAAGGGTTAAGTCCATTAACCTCAAAAGTTTCTCCCATTTTGCACCGGACGGGAAAGCGGAGGAATCCATGGCGACCCAAAGTGGCGAACGGACGCCTGTTGAAATCTACAGTCAGTTGGATGGTGAAAATAGCCATGTTGCGAGGACTAAATCTGATACTAAACCGGCATCCGGGGAGCTACCGACTAAGCTTCCCAGAAAGATGAAAAAATCCGCTACTGTAAAGTCCGCTTTTCGACATTTTAAAGTAGATGACATCGTTGAAGCTCGACGGCCGGCCACCGTGAGGGATAAAGCCATGGAGGAAGACGAGGAAGAAGATGAAGTGGATGCCAAAGCGGATGATTTCATTAACAAGTTCAAGCAGCAATTGAAGTTACAAAAGCTTGATTCCATCATTAGGTACAAAGAGATGGTAAACAGAGGAAGTGGAAGATGGAAGTAAATTACTAAACTTCAAACCTTTAGATTTTCAATATCCTCTTCTTGTTTCTTTTTTAGGGATTAATTTCAGGGTTTTCCATGATCGGTGTGTAATGCAAGGGTATCCAGTACTGCTATTGTTTTTCCAGAACTTTGTGTTCGGAAAATATGGCACTTTCATTTCATCTTCTAGTTCCAAACATTAAAAGCATCATCTTCTTCACTTGGTTTGAAGAGTGAGCCTTTAATGAGATAGATTCAAATTTAAAATCTTACTAATTTTGGGATTAATGAGCTCACTTCCATTGATGTTCACCATTGCCATTCGTAGCATTATGCTTTTTAGCTGTTGTCTACAGCACTTTGTTGTTTTAGATGGCTATAAGCACTTTGTCTACAGCTTTTTGGTATATTTTTTAGTTAATTGTACACATTCTATGTTAACTTTTAATTTTAGTTTTATCTTCAAATTATATATTTTATTCTAAATTACTTGGCGAATTTCCTGAATAATCATCCTAAAAATCAAATTTTTCCTATCAGGCACCGTTCAGACTTTATTTCCCGATCTAACACCCTTTGCAGGAAGGTGCGCCCCCTGAAGCGCGCCTTACGCTGATCTGGCACCACGTGGGGTAAGGGGCGCCACGTGGGGTAAGACGCGCCCCCTGAAGCGCGTCTTACGCTGACATAGATACACGTTGGCAAATGCACGACCCCTGGTGTGCTTCTTATGCCACGTAGGGTATAGCGCGGTGCAAGGGTTGTACCTTTGTTTTAATTTCAGACCGTTCACACCCCTTTCCCACCCCTATAAATACCTCCATTCTCATTCATTTTAATCACACCAAATCCTCTCAATTTCTCTCAAATCCTCTCAACTTAAGGTATATTTTATTTTATTTTATATTTTATTAGTATTTTATTTAATTATATTAATATTTTATTTAATTAATTTTTTTGCATTTATAAAAATGGAAGGTGGTATGCTTCATTTGGATAGAAATCATATATCGAGTCATTATGCTGATATGGTAATATTTTTACATTTTAATTTAATTTAAATTATTAGTAATAATTTATTTATTTAATGCATGATTATTAGTTTATAAATTAATTTTTTGTAATTGTTAATATTTTAGGAGAGTGACCGTATATTAAATCATTTTATTCGGAACCTTAAGTTAGCGATATCTACCCGTGTCTGGCCGTATTTAGTCAAGGCTGGATTCAGTCACATAGGTAGATATGAAGGCCATTGTAAGATAGAATCAGACCTTATTTCTGCATTAGTGGAGCGGTGGAGGCCGGAGACCCACACATTCCATCTTCCATGCGGAGAGTGCACGATTACGCTTGAGGATGTTTCTATGCACTTGGGGCTTTCGGTGGAAGGAGATGTGATTTCAGGGATGGCGCACAATGACTGGACTACTTTGTGCCGGGATTATCTAGGAGGTGTCCCACGAAATTTTAACGGTGGTCGGATACCGTTAAATTGGTTAGATGCAAATTTTCGGGAGTTGAGCGAGGATGCCTCTGATGATGAAGTTAAAATGTATGCATGAGCATGCATACTGCAGCTGATAAGAGGGTTGCTGATGCCGGACAAATCGCACAACCAAGTTCACTGTATGTGGTTGCGACATCTTGGCGACTTTCATTTGGCCGGATCACTGAGTTGGGGCTTGGTAGTTTTGGCTTTCCTATATAGGGAGATGTGTCGAGCGACTGACTACAGGAAAAATGCTATCGACAGATGTCTCCTTCTGCTGCAGTCTTGGGCATGGTATCAATTGCCCTTTTTATGTCCTGTTGTGAAGAACCCGTTCTTATTTCCGCTACTATTGAGGTAATTATAAAACTAATTTCGTATATTAATAATTTTATACAATGTATAATAAATTTTTTCCTTGAATAGGTAGTCTACTGACAGGAAAAATCATCGGGAGCTACCTGATGATTTAGAAAAAATGAGGGTGCTAATCGATCAAAAGGCTGACATAGAGGTATGCATTTTAATGTTTAAAAATCGATTTTGTATTATAGTTATATAATTAGATTATTATTTTGATAAAAACTATATATATTTGTTTTAGTTTGAATGGGTTTCATATTCTCATGATGATATGAGGATGTGCATCCCACCTGAGTTGAGGGGCCCATCAGATGTTTGGATGGCGGTAGTCCATTTGATCTGTTATGCGATCATCGAGTGGCACTCCATTGATCGCGTGCTCCGGCAATTTGGTTTTATATAACCAATTCCGGAAGCACCTCGCAATATGGACGAGTTGCATAGCACAGATCGACGCTGCAAGTCGGATACAGATTGGCTGGTGAAGCATCATGAGTGGGTCGTGTTATGGGAGGATCGATATCGACGCCTTCCCCGTAGAGAGCTCATTTATGATGACCTGTTGACGGTTGCATTCGGGTTATTATGAATGGTTCAACAGTAACGGGAAATTGTTTCTGCTTTCTGAGGATGCACGAGGGCGGAGCTTTCAGCGACGTCGATAGAGACGTGCACCGTCACAACCCCATCGTCCCCCGACTCGTGGTCAGAGAGCAGATGCTTCTGGTTAATCCTCAGCTGTACCAGCATGACCTTCACAGCAGCCACCGTCTGCAGCGACCTACATCCTGCAGCCATATCTGATGCCGCCATCGCCTTTCCCTTATCAGATATCGCTGTCGCCACCGTCTCCTGGTTTTATGACCCGTCGCCGCCACTGTCAAAAAGTTATATGACCCCTCATGGAGGATATTATGGGTCTATGTTTGTAGATTCAACTTAGGGTTCATATGCTGGTTATTTGGCATGTACAACCTCATCACCGATGGTCGCCGCACAGACACCTCCTGTACAGTTTTCTCACTCATCGATGTCTGGATTTTATGAGTTTTCCCGGTTATCGCAGGGCGGTGGGATAGTCAGTCATACACCTCCAGGTCTTTATTCTATAGAGGTACTACATCGTCATCAGTTCCTCATCAACAAAATGTATCTGCTCATGACGGCGACGACGACGACGACGACGATGGTGATGATGATGACAACGAGGAGTCAGAACCAGTTATACACAGAAATCCTCCTCGAGACAGACAGCTACCGCCATACGGAACACATTCACACCGTAGACATCGATATATTTTGATATTTTATTATATTTGTATTTAGTTGTTTATTGAACTTTTTTTATTGTAATTTATTTATTTTATTTATCATTTAATACTTACTTTATTTTGTTAATTTGGTTAGATATTTTTAATTTATTTTGTTAATTTTGTTGCACTTTTTGTTAATATATTTGGTTAATTTTGTTTATTACCATTTAATATCAGTTATTGTAATTTGATTATTATTTACCATTTAATACTTATTGTAAGTTTATTGTATTTAAAATGATATTCAAATACCAAATTGCTATTAGTTTGATAAAATTTAATGATTGTCTTCGATAACTTTCTTAAGTTTATCACTTATTATCTCTTTTATTATAATCACATATAACGCCAACGTCCAATATCGTTTTCTTGTATCGTTTTTTTAATCTTCATCAGTGGTTATCGAATGACATTAACTTTAAGTAAATACAAATTAAAGTACAAGAATTATTATTTGATTAACAACTGTATCAGTTCCTCATCAATTGTTACTTGATGATAACAGAAGTGGACATGTTCTCCTAGTGTGTCCTGAGTTTCTACAATGCCCACATTTTTTGTCGTGTCTATATGTTTATCGAATATCCATATCACAATGAATTCGAGTGGATTTTGGACGACCACGCTCATTCAATAAACTCAGATCTGGTACAATCAAAACCCAATTCTGAACCTCATCAGGGTCTTTGTCATTAACTATGGGGGGAACTCAAATTCGTATACCTTAAAAACTTCTGATAGTAGGTATCTGGGATCCACAAAACGGTTATAGTCTTGACGGGTATGCAAGCAAGTTGCTATCACATGAGAGCATGGATACTTCAGATCTTGAAAAACCCCACAGTCACACTATCTGTCCCGTAGATTTACTCTTAACGATACAACTTTAATCTCTTGAAGAGGCCGAAGCAACTCTGTGACACGAAACAATGCATGTGTTCTAGAAAGCTTGTTACAGACATTTCATTTGATGCATCAATTTTTTTTGTAGATCTGCAACTAATCTAGGGTGATAGACATGACCGCCTTGCATCCAGGTTTAAGTTTGTCCCCCGAGCTTCTCAAAAAGTGCCCCAAATAAAAATATGTAGTTTTTACCAAAGTCGCTACAGGTAAGTGACGTGCACCCTTTAAGGTCGAATTGATTGCCTCAACCAAGTTGGTCGTCATGTGTCCATATTGATATCTACCATCATATGTGTTTGTCCACATTTTTTTATTGATGAGGCTGATGTAATCGTATTCTTCCTCGTTCTTCGCCCGCAAATCTTGAAGCATGGATTCAAATGTTTGAGGAAGTAGTTCATAACCTGATCAAAAAATGTAGAACTTACTAACTTTGTTTCTTTAAAAAATGAAAAGACCGAAAGAAAACAAACTACATCAGTTTCACTTACCCATGCGTACAAGTAATTGTCGCTCATCATTCTTCTTGTACCTTCCATAGTAGTTTGAAGCAATGTGTCGGATACAATACCTATGTTGGACAAAGGGTAGTTTCCACATTGGACCCAAAGACTCCATTGTTGCTTTGATCCCAGCTCCGCGATCTGAAATGACACAGATTTTTCCCTCGTGATAACATGTGAACGTAAGTTTCGGAGGAAAAAAAACTCAAGAATATGTATCTTCTCCTTCAACAAGAGCAAAAATAATTGGAAGAATGTTACGATTACCATCTTGGACAATTGTCAATAGTAAAACTTGCTTGTATTTTCCATACAAGAAAGTCTCATCGATCTGGACAACAGGCTTGCAGTATTCGACAGCATTAACACACTGTGGGCATCGATCGCGAAAAACTCGATCATTATGGTATACATGGGACGTTTCGAAGTCCACAATTGTCTT